TTTTTTCTATTTGTTAACTTTGTATCTTTAAAATGTCTGAAAGACCCTTAATCTAAGGAATCCACATGCCACAGTGTTTTTGCCCAAGAACAAAATTAATAGATCGAGAGGGGCCATAAGGTCAGACTTTGGTCTTATGCTGTTTAATTTTGTCAATATAGTTCTGTTTGTTTTTAATAGGTCATTTGCTACTTACTTTCCAATTCTGTCAGAGTAGGGGCTACTCTACCATGTTAACCCTAAGACTTACCTACCTGTGTGGATTCCACCAGACATAAGGCCTGACCAACCACAGGACCACAAGAGGTCCTGTCCTAAACTGTAAACACCAGGCTTTCATCACGAAAACAGCTACTAAATAAAGCTGAAAGATAAAATGTACACGAATGGATTTATACTGGGCTTTCTTTATTTGGAATTTGAATTTTCATTTGTTTACATTCCCATAATTTTTATTATAATTATTTCATAGACTTTCTTCCCTGAAATAACTATACATATATATATAAGATATTTATGACAGTAGCATATAAAGCACAAAAGCACAAGACTGGAAACACAGCAGTCAAATATACATAGTTAAACATAACCTTGATTAACAAATCTTGTTATTCATGGATGCCAGCTCAGTTAATAAGTGTCTGTGGCTTGGATACTGAACTAGAGGTTAATGGCGAGGTGGAAGCAATTGTAGAATCTAGATTTTTAAGACAAACACACATCACACCACAGAAGGCATGCATGGAATCAGATGTAGTCAGTCGGCTGTGGTGATGTACTTTGGGTGTTCTCCTTCACTGGTCTAGCTGTGAACAGCCACCAGATCTGGCGACGTACCAAGCAGAGGAATGGCTCTTCCCATGAGCCTCTCGTGCCACTTCCGCATTCATCCTTCCAATGACCGAATGAGAGACTGTGAAAGAATATTTTTACTTTAAAATGTTTTCATTAAAATTTTATTTTGACTTTGCTAAAATGAATTTGTAGAACAGATAGGTTAATTATTACTATATAGTCACAAGAGAGCGCATGTCAAATGTAACTAATACTTATACCCATCTTGACTTTGTTGTCAAATGTCAGTGGTATGAAATCAGATTTCTCTTGAACTTCATGTGTCTTAAAAGCTAAATGAATGCAAGTCATGATTTAAAAATTGCTTTGTTTATTGGTCATTAAGGAACATTTTTATGTTGAAGAAATCTAGAGCTCTTCTACATTCCTTAACTGATTTTCTTTCCTCCCTGTGAGACAGATTAAAAAACAGGAGATTTTTTCAAATGCACTTGTATCAGGTCAAGACTAAAAGTAAATAAGTATCTGAGGAAGTGGATAAGTCAGTCACATCCTCAAAGGGCACTGAAAGAATGCAGGAAGACCGTCTTTTTCCTTCTTCATTCCTTGAGAGACAGCAAGAGACGACTGACCTCTAAAACATATAACCTCAAAACTGTTTCTCTAGTCAGAAGCCAAAACTGGGTGGCGATTTGATCACAGAGTGTGGCCTGGCCATGTCATGGGTCATATGGTCCAGCATATGAACAGGAAGGTGAGAATTGGTGAACTTTTGCCTCAGTTGTGCCATCCATCAAAGAATAAATGGAGCAGATCAACGTGTGCAGCTGTATCAGGAGGCGGGTGGCCGAGTCCTTCTCACACAGGGGCCTTTTGTCTCCTGGACATGATCTAGCGTTAGGACGGGATGCACTCGGCCTCGGCTTTGTGGCAAATTACTAACCCATTATCACACCAGCACACAGGATCATTTATCTTCTAATCCTGAGTGTCACCTGTTCTTCATTTACCAGTCAATAACCATTAATTATGCTCAGTGGAAATTTAAACAAAGCCCTTTCCCTCTGTTGAAACCAGTAAACTATTCAGCAATAACAAATAAATCTGGAGTTGTATATCCTTTCCCTTCCCATTCCCAGACTGGAGTCTGGTACAATATGAACTTTGGAGGAAATGCCTAGAAATTGATAGGTCAAAGGTCACAGATAGTCTGATGGAGAAGAAAAGAGCAGATTCTTGGCTCTTGCTCTAGTGAAAGGAGAGGTTCCTGCTGATCCCCTGATTCCTGCCGGGAACAAAACAAGCACCAGGGGACCTGTGCCCATGTTTAAAGTGATCTGCCATTAGCCAGCATTCATATTTTCTCCTTTCATTTTTAGCAAGCCCTTGCTTTCTTTCACATGACTAAAAATAGGATTTTTTTCAGACCATACTAGCACAGCAGAGTGTTTCTAAGGAAATAAACTGAGTGGTCCTGAAAGATCTATTTGAAATGTTATTTTTAGAATTGATATTTGAGTCAAACACATTTAAGTGTATCTACCCCATTACATTTAATCCCACAGAAGAATGTTCGAATAGAAATTCTAGCCAGAAGCATAATTTAATTTTCCCTAAAAGTCTGAAAGTGCACACACAAGTTTGTGTGTGTGTGTGTGTGTGTGTGTGTGCACAGGTACACATGTGCCCCTGCTCAAGTGAGGTGGCAGGGTAAGCTTAGTTGGGAAGAGGGGCTAAAGTGCAGCCTCAGTCCTAATGAAGCCACCATGCTGTGTGCTGTTGGTCACAGGGAAGTCCAGTGAGACAGCAGGAATTCATTCCAGTGGCTAGACTTGGGACTAGTATGGGATCTAGAAAGAGAGGTCAGCATTCCCAGACAGATGAGGGGATAGGACATTCCAGGTCGCGAGAACTTCACGCGCAGGCCAGACCTACATGGAGTGGCCTCTTCACCAGCCCACCTCTAGTGTATGCAGGCTGTAGCCTCCCTTCCAAGCAGGCACTTCTCTGAGGCTTTGTGACAAACTGTGCTGGGCATGGACAGGTTTGGCCAGGAGGACCTGGGCTGCATTTCAGACCTTCTCCTCCTCTCGGCGCTCAGCTTTTAACAGCATTCAGGGAGCTACCAAACCACTGTATAGACTCCATCTGCTGCATGGACTATTCAAGTAAAGAGAGCAGCTTGTATTTTGTGCCTTTTAAACACCGATCAAGCTGTAGTAGTGGTTGAAGTACTAGTAGTAGTAGTAGTAGTAGTAGTAGTAGTAGTAGTAGCAGCAGCAGTAATAGTAGACCATTTAAAAAGTGTTGTGACTAAATTCATCTACCATGATCTCTTAATGCAAAATGAAACAGCAGATATTTCATTAATATAAACAAAACTGTCTCCTAGCCAAGACAATTTCATCTGTTAGTTACTTTACAGTATGCCACTGACCTGAAACTATTGTCCTTGTCCCAACCACCATGCCACATCTCCAAGGCATATGAAATTGCCCCAGATCTTATCTTCCATAGAACAAAAAAAGATTTAACCAGTCTTGTAAAAGACCAAAAATACAAAAATACCCACACACAAAAAAAACTTCAAGTAAAAGAGAAATTAGCCGAGCTCGGTGGCTCAACCTGTAATCCCGCGCCTTTGGGAGGCTGAGGTGAGTGGATTGCCTGAGCCCGCAGGTTCGAGACCCGCCTGAGCAGCGAAACCTCATTTCTACAATAAATTTTAAAAAATCAGCCGTGCGTGGTAGCGCATGCCTGTAATTCCAGCTACTCGGAAGCCTAAGGTGGAAGGATCACTGGAGACCAGCAGGTCGAGGCTGCGGTGGCCGGGAGCAGCCACTGCACTCCCGTCTGGGCAACCGAGTGAGACTCCAACTCAAAAAAAATAAAAAGAGAAATTAAAGAAAAAAAATTGTAGAAGGTTGCCTCAAATTAAAATGAGTAAAGAGGAATTAAACTTTTTTATGGCATTTTCTAGGAGAAAATAGGCCAACTCATTGATTTCAGCAACCCATTTTTCAGCTTATTCAGTAGCATCCAGAGAGACACCAAACAAAATAGTTTTGTTTAAATGTTAGAACAAGAGTTCAATGCACATAACATTGAGGACTGTGTTAAAATAAAGTGCTTATTTCTTTTATATATTTTATTTTGAGAAGTGGGTAGAAGTGATCAAAAGAATTTTTTTTTCTTTTGGTTTGGATCTTTTTAAAGAGACATGTTCCTGTTGGATACTTGCTACACTTAATTTTTAAAAATCTGCATCTCCTATCTGTGTTAAAATAAATCTTTATGATTAATACAAAATTCCAGGCCATAGGAACTGTAGGCCTGTGTACTGATAAAAGCTCTTCTCCTCAGGGGAGATGGGCTATGATGGTACCATAAGTCTGTCTCGGACATGCAACTGCACTTTTGCCAGCCAGACTTTCAGTTCCTCCTGAGAAAGTTTATCTGGCTGATACATTCATTTTGATCATGTTGTGAAGGGTGAGCACCTGACCTTGACATGCTGCCTCATGAATCCCTGAACTCCGGTGTCAATATTTTCATTGCCTCTCAGTCAACTTTTTAAAAATAGTAGTATTCTCTATTACATGACTGTTTTCCATGAAGGATTCTTGCTTATTTTGCTTTCTGATTGGCAAATTTTCTTTTCTTTTTTTTAAAAAAATGATTGGTAGACTTTCAACTTTGTTATTCAAAAATTAGGTTTCAACTTTGTTATTCAAAAATTAGGTTTTTGAGGACAAACGCCATCTTTAAATGATTTTATTCTTGCCTGTCACTTGTTACAGAAAAATTAGACAATGCTTTTAGGACTGTTTTTTCATAAGTAATGCTATAAAAAGGTTATTTGCCACAGACACTGCCTAACATCATGGTCCTCTAAGTTTTGGTTCAAGGACCTGCAGCATGAGAACCATTCCTGGGATGTTGTATATTCTGAGACATGCTCTCTAGGCCTGAGTCCACTCCTACAGCTGTGACCCAGGCAACCATACCAAGATGTCCCCCTACATGATTCTGATGTACAGTAAAGGTTGAGAACATTCCTGTCATGGTTAGAATATTGCATTAAATTCATCTTCATATTCTAGCTGTGCATTTCCATATCCAGTTATGTGCACTGGATAACACCGTATTTTCAAAGTGACTGCTAAGTACAACTTTGAAATTAACTTGACTCCATTTCTCTCTAGGCCATGTGGCTGATGTTGCAGAATGATGAGCCAGAGGACTTTGTCATAGCCACTGGAGAAGTCCATAGTGTCCGGGAATTTGTCGAGAAATCATTCTCATACATTGGAAAAACCATTGTGTAAGTATGCCTGAAAGTTGACTGCTGCTTATTAGCCAGATAGTTACTGGCAGATGTACTTATGTGCCTGCTATTCTGCCTTGGTTCTGTTTGTCATCTTCCCCTGTTGCTCTCTTGTAAAGCAATACAGAGAGTTTCAGTTCAAGGCAGGTGCTTTGCTCTTTCATTTGTATTTTTATTTTAATTTCAGGGGATACAAGCACAGGTTAGTTACATAGGTATAGTGCATGATGATGCAGTTTGGGCTTCTATTGAGCCCATCACCCAGATAGTGAGTATGATACCCAATGGGTAGTTTTTTTTACCCTCATCCCCTTCCCCCTCTTTTGGAGTTCCTGGCGTCTATTATTCCCATCTTTATGTCTGTGTGTACCCAGTGTGTAGCTCCCCCTTATAAGTGGGAACATGCAGTATTTGGTTTTCTGTTTCTGTGTTAACTTTCTTAGAATAATGACCCCCAGCGGCATCCGTATTGCTGCAGAGGACATGATTTCATTCTTCTTTATGACTGCATAGTATTCTATGGTATATATTCCACATTTTCTTTATCCAATCTTCTGCTGATGGACACCTAGGTTATTTCCATGTCTTTGCTATTGTGAATGCTTGCAATAAACAGGCAAGTTCAGACGTCTTTTTGATAGAATGATTTGTGTTCCTTTGGGTATATATCCAGTAATGGGATTGCTGGGTTGAATAGTATTTCTCTTTTTAGATGTTTGAGAACTCTCCACATTGGTCTCCACAAAGGCTGAACTTGTTGACAATACCATCAGCAATGTATGACTATTCCCTTTTCTTTGTAACCTCACCAACATCTGTTGTTTTTTGACTCTTAAATAGTAGCCATTCTGACTGGTGTGAGTTGGTATCTCATTGTGGTTTTGATATACATTTCCCTGATGACTAGTGAGGGTGAGCATTTTTTAATGTTTCTTGGGACTTTACTGCATTCAACCCTACTTACATGCATGTAAAAGGTTGGTCAGCATCTAAACCAAATTTTTTTTCAAAATTTCTCTTATCTTTCTTATTTTTTAATGATTTGAGTTTTTATTTATTTTTAAATTTTATTTTATTTTTGCTTTTCAAGTTTTAAAATTTTTATCACAGTATAAACATTATCTTCTATTGTGACTTTGCTGATTTGGATCTATCAAAACATTAAAGAAAAGTTACAAATACATTACAATCATTTTATCTCTGAACCATTGAGAATAAATTGCTGGCCTGATACCCCATACCCTGAACTTTTATGTGTGTTTTCTACAATGACATTCTCCTGCAGAAATGCAATATGATCATCAAATTCAGGAAATTCATAGTGATATATTATTATCATATAACTTACAGATCCCATGTGAGTTTTAGCAGTTGCTATACTTCATACTGAAAAAATCCAGTTTATAGTCATCCACTATGTTTACTTATTTCATTATACAAATTTTGAAGTCAGATTTATATTGGAGTATCCAAAAGATTTGTGGGGAAATCCTTTATTATAGATAAAAGATTATTTTTTAAAAAAAGTTTGATGATTTTAAATTATAAAATATAAGTTACATAAAATTGATCATTTTAACCATTTTTAAGTATACAGTTCAGTATGGTCAGTGTTATGCAACCATCAGTGTTATCCATGTCCAGAACATTTCTATCATAACTCCTCATTCTACATCCTCCCAACACCTGGTAACCTCTATTCTACTTGCCATTTTGATTAATTTTCCTATTCTAAGTACCTCATATAAGTGGAATTATACAATATATATCCTTTTGTATCTGGCTTATTTCACTTCCCATAATGTTTTCATAGCTTATCCATATTATAGCACTTTATTCCTTTTTTAAAGACTGAATATATATATATAATAGAATATATACCACATACACTCTGTTTAACCATTCCTCTCTTAATGGGCACTTGGGTTGTTAACAACTTTTGGCTATTATGAATAATGCTTCTATGAAGATGCATGTACAAATATCTGTTTAAGTCTCTGCTTTCAGCTCTTTCGGGTATATACTTAGAAATGGAATTTCTGGGTCATATGGTAATTCAGTGTCTAACTTTTTGAGGAACACCAAACTATTTTCTAAGATTTATTTTAAAACATAAGAAAATACTTTCACTTCTAACCATGATGGACTTACAGAAACAAGCTTTAACATTCTAGCTTTAAAAACTAGGAAACTTGACAAAATACATGAAGCAACTATTTTAGACACTGGTCAACAGGCAGTGTAGGACTATGATCCCAGATAGAAAAGGAATAAATAAGTTGAGCCCTGCAGTCACTCTGGCTTTCATTCTGGACCATGCAGTATGAATGAAGCACCTCAAGCAGAGAACAACTGTCTTGCTGAGTTGAGGAGACGATTGATCAGAAATCAGGGAGTCTGAGGCACCTGAACATTGTGGGTCAGGGTTCTAGAAAGAGGGACTCTACAAAGAAAAGGAACTCCAAAAATCTTTGGGGTCCCCCTGGGTCTTTGCTAAATAATAAGATGCACGTGTATGAGAAACTACATAAGCTTCAAAAAATAATCACCTGGGAACTGAGGACTGAATGTTTCTTAGAGGTCACCCAAGACATTCACACTTCAACCAGTCATAGTGGAGAGATCTTGTTGATGACCCTGAGAATGCAGAACAGATTTCAAAAGGGCTTTGCCTCAATAATGGGGTGAATCCCTAGAATAAACGACTACTCTAGACTCAGGCTAACAAAGCTTGAATACAAGTCACAAAAGGGTCAAACTGGACAAATTACTCAGTGTCCTGCCATTACAAAGCCCAGTATTCTTCAAAGGAAGACAGAAAATAAATGTTGTTGTTTATGTCACTCAACAACGTAAAATGTATAATGTACAGCATTCAATCAAAAATTACTAGGCATGCCAGGAAACAGGAGAATATGGCCCATAACCAGAATAAGAATCAATCAATAAAAACACTTGGAAGAATAATAAAGATAGTGATAATGAGTACACGAGGATGTTAAAATCACTGTTATAACTATATTCAAATATTTAAGAAAGACATGATATATTGATAAAGACAGGGAAAATATACTTAAAAAGAATCAGTGGAACTTTAGACAAGAAAAAAATGAAGTATCTGAAATTAAAAAAATTTACTGTTAGCATTGAGAGCAAATTAAATACTACAGAAGAAAAGACCAGTGAATGTAGACGTAACATTAAAAATGATTTCAGATGAAGTACAAAAAGAAGAAGACTGAGGAGAAAGAACAATTTCAGTGATGTGTGAGATAATTATCAAACAACTTAACATATGTGTAATTGAAGTCCCAGGGGACAGGGGGAAAAGGAGCACAGAAAAAGAATTGAGTAATAGCCAAGTTTTTCCCCCAAATTTGAAGAAAACAATAAAATCACAGAACAAAGAGGCATAGTAAACCCCAATTAGGAAAAACACAAAGGAAGCTACAGTATACATCATAGTCAACCTACTGAAAACACATCCTAAAGAGAACATCAGAGAATAAAGATAATTATTACGGTGGAACTCAGTTTTATTACTATTTAGTGGAAACATGCTTTTATAAAAATTAAGAGTACATGCTTCTTTCTCCCAAGGATGCTCTTTTAATGTCTTTATTTCATGATTTGGTCAATTTAACTCCCAATTCATTCATCCTTATGTATACACAGTGTGATGTATACTGTGGTTAAAAGCACAGGTTCAGTGCCACACTTCCTGGGCTTGAATTCCAGCTCTGCAACTTCCTAGGCAGTTATTTGTCTTCTCTGTCTACATTTGCTCAATTATAAAATGGTGATCGAGTTCCTACCTCACAGGAATGGGGTGAAGATTATTTAATGGGTTAATGTATGTAAGTCACCTACAACACTGCCTGACACATCTTAAGCTCTCTATAAGTATTTGCTATGAATGAAGTAGGTAATTGATTGAAAATGACATTTGCCAACAGTGAATTCAAGGGATTAAGACAATGTGGAAACAATAAGTTTGGGCAAAGTAATTATGTTTGGGGACAAGAAACAGTAAAAAAGTCACACTGATGTTTCATGCCTTCGTGGCCAGAAGAAACTTAACAGAGACACTTTGCAGAGAGAGGCAATTTCAGGAGGGTGAATAACCTTGTTTAATTTTCCTTGTATAGAGATGGTGGTGGATCTAGTGAGGTATTTTATCCTCTCCCAAGAAGACTTGACCATTTCCCAGAATTAGAATACCTTTTTGCTGAATCCATCTCCTAGAGAGCAGTGTTTCTCAAATTTTAATATGCTGTGAATCACTTGGGATCTTGTTAAAATGCAGATTCTGAATTAGTAGCTCTGGGTGGAGCCTGAGATTCGGAATTTCTAACAAGATCCTGGGTGATGCCGATGCAGCTGACCGATGGACCACGTTTTGAATAGCAAAGCCTGAAAGAATGTAGAACTGCAAGTTTGAAATGAACCTTGATGATTACCCTTATCACTTTCTAGCATATTTTTGGTCATTTGTGATTTTTACCTTCCCCAGTAGGTTAGACAGTAGGCTCCTTAAGGACAAAATTTCGTCCCTGATTCCTTTTGATACTTTATATTGTGCCTAGCACAGTGTCAGATATATGGTAAATAAATGGAGACTTTAATGAATCAATAATGGAGATATAATTTTTGGAAGTTAGGAAATGTTGATTTGGAGGGGCTGGAGAATGGGTGGTGAAGGGGCATTTCTCAAAAATGAAAAGCCAAAACCTAGGGCTTCCCATGAGAATGGGTTAGGGGCACTTCTAACTGATGTAATCCTTTTGTTTATTTTGTGCTCTGTTCCTCCCATCTCTAGTATTTATAAGACTATCTGGATACAAGTTGAATTTAATTGCAACTGAATTTAATTTATCATCTGATAAATAAAGGAAAAAGGGTTATCTGGGCTTTCTGTTTCTGCTGTTAATATGTTGAGGAATGCTTTCGGACAAGGTGAAGAGATCCAAAAGTCAGGAACCGTAACTGCCTTTTCC